TCTATACACTAATAAAATAGTACTTCGGTAATGCTGTTTGTATTGTAGGTAATGTTCATAATCTTTTTTGCCAGTACCATAATTTTTAGTTCTTTTAATGACTCTAAGCTAGATCAGTGATAAATTATAGATAGTGAAAGGATTTATGACTTTTTTTGTTGTCATTGCTGGGAAGTGGGGGGGGTTGGTCATTTTACTACCTTTGGCTCTGTGAATCTTACTGTCCAGAGTACTAAAGATTAAATTAAAAGTTCAACTGGAATCAGTGCTATGTACTAAATCTCTATACTTAAGAATTCTTACGTATTGCAGACAAATGCCCTCTTTGTTGTTTTGTTTGTTATTTTGTGAAAAATAATATTATACTGGAGCAAGCTGGTTCAGATTCATACTATTTCAAATTTTAAGTATTATGCTTTAGGCCACTTAAGTTATTTTGTAGAAATAGATAAATGGAAAACTCAACTTAAACCCAGCCCACTGAATACCTAAACACTTTTGATATTTTAAAGGCGATGAGGAAATCATGAACTTTTTTGCTGGTGAGTGGCGGATATGGTTAACAATTTCACTAGGTTTGGAAAAAAATCGCTGACCCTACTTGCCAGGAAAATTGAAAGTTTAGTTTGTAAGCTGGCCTTTTTTCCTACCCTGTGCATCTGAGAAGTTTAACTTGGAGTTTAGCATTAATCTTTTATAATATAACTTGATAAATTTAATCTGATTTTATCACCGGCTTTAAATTATGCACTTCTGTGCAATTTACTAAGCTGAAAAAACTATTGAATTTTGTTAGTCTTTAAGTGTATTTTTTCTTTTCTACTTAATTTGAATTCAATCACTGATGTTCAGATTTTATTTTTGTCCTTCTAATAGCTAATAATAATTAAGTGGTTACTATTTGCTTCTCACTAATCCTCAAAATAAATTTTTGAGGTAGGTACTAGTATTATCTGTTTTATAGATGATACTTAAAGAGGTTAAGCAATTTATCCAAGTTAAACTATAAAATTGTACTACTATAAAATTGTGAAACTAGAATATGAACCTAGTTATATTTGTTTCTGAGGAATCTCCTGCTCCAAGACCTTGAAATTACATGGAATTTTCATTGACTGTAACAATCAATAATACTCTTCCCATCCAAGCCTGCCTATTTCTAATTTAGGATAGCGTATTTTTTTTTTTTTTTTTTTTGAGTTGGAGTCTCCCTCTGTCGCCCAGACTGAAGTGCAGTGGCTTCTCCCGGCCACCGCAGCCTCAACCTGCTGGGCTCCGGCAATCCTTCCGCCTCAGCCTTCCAAGTAGCTGGAACTACAGGCGCACGCTACCACACCCAGCTAATTTTTTGATTTATTGTAGAGATGAGGTCTCGCCAAGTTGCCCAGGCGGGTCTCAAACCCACAAGCTCAGGCAATCCACTCACCTCAGCCTCCCAAAGTGTGGGATTACAGGCTGAGCCACCGAGCCCGGCTGATAGTGTATTTTCTACTCTGATGTTTATCATCATTTTACGAGAGTTGAGCCGTAGGATTATTTTAATTGTTATCTAATTTGCTGAGTTTTTCGTCCAGCTAGAAACTCTTCTCACTGCAGTGTATTCCAATAAAATGATGCTGTATTTCATTGATTCCAAGGTGCAAGGTTTTGTCCCCTCTACATTTTAACATTGCTAAAATCTACCAGTTGAATTCTTGATAATTCTAAATAATAGCTAACATTATTTGACTGCTAATAAAATCTTAAACAATATCCAATGAAGGTAAACATTTTCTTAAACTTCTCCTTAATTTCAGTCATCTTTTATTAAGAACCACCATCTAGAGTCTCACATTTCCTATCATAACTAAACTCAGGGAAACCTTGGAGGAGAAAGAGAAGGGCAGGATTTAAGGTTTGAGTATGACATCTCCATTTCTTAATGGTTTCAGAACACTTCTCACAGAGTATTGTCAAAAAGCTAGATCTTTACCAAAATTAATAAAAGAAAAACATGATTTCTAGCATACTATTTATTTTGTGAGCAAATATGTGACAGCACAAAACTATGGTAGTCCCTTGCATTTTTTAAAATCCAAAAGAAATCCTGTTGAACAGTTGTAAAGGACTATTTCAGTTATAATGTTGCTACCTAGGAATTTAATTTTAAAGCTTAGAACTAGCAAGGAAAAGGCATTCTGAGTCAAGTGAATACAATAATTTATTAATTTAAGGCCCTTGGTTAGATTTCTGGAATAGACCTGTGTTTAATATAGGAAATCATAAGTAAGGGCAGCAAGTCACCTTATCTCAGTGACTCAAATTCCTGATAACTCTTTTCTTATTATTTCATGGTTCTTCATATTGGAACTTTGATTTTGCCTGATATCTTGAAATATGTATACACACATGTGCACAGATATATTCATTGTTGGCAAAATGTCCAAGTTATCAATGTGATATTTTCAAAAGCCAGGCACAGCTTTCTTAGATACCTCTAATGTGATGTCAGTATTCACATACAGTTTTTCTCCATAAATATCTAACCAAAGGAGATTGTCATGATTAGACTGCACAGTGGGCAAGGGCTTGAAAATATAGTAGTTTGTCACCAGAATTTGTTTTATTAGACTAATTGTTGAACTGATTTGTTACTTAGTATATGGCCACTTTTTAGCTTTCCGACCTGCCTTTCTGCAGCAGTTGATTGTATTGACTATCTCCTCTTCCTTGGTCCCTGGAACAGCCCTTTCTCTTTTCTGGTTCATCTTACTCTCCTTATCTCTAGTCTCGATCATTCAGATGCTAGTTCTTCCCCAGAATCTGAATCTTGGCATTTTTCTCTTCTTTACTTGCTGTTTTAAATTTCAGTAACCATCATATCTGCAAGTCTAGTCCCAGATTTTTCTTTGAGGTTCTAGCTTCCTATTTCCAGCTCTCTGATTACATCTCCATCTCAATATTCAGCATATGGTAGATCTAATAAAACTGTGGGAATATCTTGGTGATTTATTTAGCTGAGGCAGAGGGAACAAATGAAATAGCTAGGAAGGCTCTTTACATTGTTACTTGTATAGATAAGTGCATGTGTGTATATGTGTGTGGGTGCACGCACATACATATTTGTTTTAGCAGATGCTTTAAAGTGGAACTCAGTGATTAGAGAAAAATTATGATTTTAATGTGCTTCTTTGAGAAATTCTTCATCTGTACTTTAGGAATGTAGTAAATGGCTTATGATAAGCAAGCTGTACTTTGGGAGTGGTCCTTGTTCATCTTCCCATACCATTTTTGTCTTCTCTCCCTTCCTTTTCCATTACTTTGTAAGAGAAAATAACTCAGGAAACTGGTTTATAATCAGTAGTCTGGGAACTTCTGGGATTCTTTACCGGAATACCCATGGATGTTGCAGTCCTTGACGCAAGCACCATTGTTTTGGGATAGGAGTTTCATAATGGCTGTGGAGCAGAGAGGCTAAGTTGATAAACTGCAGTTGTCATCGTTTGTAGAAACTCAACTGGGAATCCTTTTCTGTCAACTTTTATTTCATCTGTAAATTAAAAAGGCATATTTCTTTTTTCTCCTACTCCCACTCCAACAAGTATGGACAGATTACTTAGGGACTTCTATTTCCAAAGATTCGGTAGTCTTTTGTAAAACCAGTTTATTCGCAAGAGCAGTGTCCTCTTTTCCCAGAACCACCTTTACTTGTTATCACAAACTTTGTTGTGAGTTAACTTGTCATCACTTTTTAGGAAAGTTTTTAGAGCTTTTTTCTGTAGATCAATTTTTATTTAAATAGAAGTTAAAGGGAATTGTAAGTAAATTTGTGTTTTAGAGGTTTTTAAAAAAAATCTCTATGCCAGATAAAATATAGTCATCAACATTCAAGTATTGTAGTTTTATGTTTATTTCTTACTAACTTTGCTAATAACCTTTAAAAAACTCCTGACCTTACTAATGTTCCTAATCAAACACTGTTCTTAATACCTAAACTAAATGATCTTTACATAAAATGCCGTAGATAGAAATAAGCTGAAAAGGACAGAAACCAAAAGAAAAATGGGAGGATATCCAAGACCACTTTTTTTGGAATTAGGTGAGCATTTATATGAAGCATCACACCTATATAGGTGTGTATAGGTATCTCTCTCTCTCTCTCTCTCTATATATATATATATAAATATATATATAGTTTATTTAGAGAAGGGAAGTCAGGAGGAAATGCTGTAGTTCTTTCAGCTTATAGAATCCCAAGAAAAACAAAACTTTTGTACTTTTGGAACATATTTTTTTTATAACTGATAGTACTCCAATGGTAATTTTTTCTAGATTTCTGTTATTAAAGCTAAAACTAATAATTGAGGATCATGATGACACAGATAAATAGTAAAGTAAATAGCATCCAGATATTTTGGGAAGTAGGGAGCGGTGATGGGCAGGAAGAAACTTTCCTTCATAGGGAATCAGTAGTTATAATGTTTTAATGACTTGGTTTTTAAAAATCTGTAAAGTGGAGATAGTATGTCTTCATAAAGGTTTATTTTTTTAGGATTAAAAGAGAATAATATATGTGAAGAGTTGGGAATAGTGCATAGTGTAAAGTATGCTGAGAAGGAAGAGACAAGCCACCAGTGGTTAAAAAGGTTTATTAAAGAAAAGAAGTCTACTGACTCTATAGAGAGAAACCTGCACACCTCCTCTCCCATCCCCCCCCTACAAACCCTATCATACAGCATTTAGTAAGCCCTCAGTAAATTTAGCACTTGCTGTTACTTGGATTTTTAAAAAGAGAAGCCATACTCTGGGACAGCTGATGATAAATGCACCTGCAATTTAAGATTTACCAAAGTAGTTAAGATATTTTAAAATTGTGTCTTCTTATTTCAGCGGCTTGTTGATTCTTGCTTTGGCAAAGTTAGCATATGATTGGAATCTCGTAGTTTAGTAGAATGCATAAATTTAATAACAGAATATTATAAGGAAATAACTATATCTGTCTTATTTTTCTTTGTTTTCAGGTTTCCCCTAAAAAAACCTATAAGGTAAGTTAGTTCATTTGTACTTCATACTACAGATTAGGCTAAATTTTCATTAGAAGCATTCTTTTGAAATTATGGTGGATTTTTGTGGTTTTTGGAAACATGAATCTAAGTAATTCAAAATGTTTTACAAATTTAAAATATAAAAGTTGCATTTTTTTCTGGAAAACAACATTGTTTTGATAATATTTTAATGTTTATAATGTAAGCCTTTTAAAAGTCATTCATATTGATACTTAAGATTACTCTATGAAGATATTTATTTTTAAATTTTATTTATGAATGTTTTGAATTGTGAGTGGCTTGAGAGTGAAAATTAATGGTTAGTTTTTGATGTATTTTATACCTGTGTAACTCCAACTGCCTGTAGTGAATAAACTTTGGCACTAGCTTATTCTTAATTAGTTTAAGACAGTAAAGAAGCTGGGCTCCGTGGCTCAGCCTGTAATCCCGTGCCTTGGGAGGCTGAGGTGAGTGGATTGCCTGAGCCCGCGGGTTCGAGACCCGCCTGGGCAACTTGGTGAGACCTCATCTCTACAATAAATCAAAAACTAGCCGGGCGTGGTAGCGCACGCCTGTAGTTCTAGCTACTCGGAAGGCTGAGGCGGAAGGATCGCTGGAACCCAGCAGGTTGAGGCTGCGGTGGGCGGGAGCGTGCCACTACACTCCAGTCTGGGCAACAGAGTGAAACTCCAACTCAAAAAAAAAAAAAGACAGTAAAGAAAGCATCCAAAATGTTCAAATATATCTGTACTTTTATCCATATCTGTGTATTTATTCATTTCCAGGGTTTAGAAGCCTCTTTTTCAGTACCTGTGCTTCACCATCTCTTCTCTCTCATCTTAATTATCATAAGTATTTTTAAAATGTAAACAGTTTGTCTTTCCTCATTGTTATAGTATTTTTGCTTTTTTTTTTAAGCATAGTCCAGGATACCAATGCTAACCTTGATTTTCAATTAATTAGTAGTGTATATATTATATTATAGTCTTTCTTGTTGCCAAGCCCTTATCTGAGCAGTATAATTGACTAGGAAATAGAAAAAAATAACAATTCTAGTGTCATTGATTCTGAAGGTGGTTGGCTAAGACTTCTGTGGCTAGAATTATATAGGCAGGCTTAAAGTGAGGCTTGCCTAAGATTTTTAATTTTATTTATTTATTTATTTATTTATTTATTTATTTATTTAAGAAAGCAGGATTTGAGAAGACAGGAAAGCTCCCACAGTGGGTGGGGGCTCAAAGGAGTTGCCCTTTTTGAAAATTTTAAACTGTTTTCATGCATGCTGTATTTATTTATGCAGTGATTTTGAAATTGAACCATAGTATATGTAGGATCAGAGAATGTATTAATTCTCTTAAAGCACTGTTTTTTGTCTGTTACATGGAAATTTAGTACTGACCTATGAAAACCACACACAAAAAGTAAGCACTTATTTCTAAAAATAAAATAGACTTTAATACTATTTTAATTATTTTAAGTACTTTTTTTTCCCCGGAGCCTGAGCTCTGTTACATGGAATGTAGTAGTGCAATCATAGCTCACTGTAACATCTAACTCCTGGACTCAAGCGATCTTCCTGCTTTAGCCTCTGTAATAGCTAGGACTATAGGTGCATGACACCATGTTCGCTTAATTTTTAATTTTTTGTAGAGATAAGATCTTGCTAATATTGCCAAAGCTGGCCTCAAACGATCCTTCTTGCCTCAGCTTCCCAAAGTGCTGGGATTACAAGCATGAGCCACTGTAATCTAGTAATAGCAAAACTGTATCTAGCAATCTGTAATCTAGTAAATAAACTTTGTATCACCAAAATTTCTTGAAAAGCATAAACTAGAGAGGCTTATGATACTGTGAAAGGTAAGTCAACTTCCTGGATTCTTTTTTCTCTCTCTCTCTCTCTCTCTTTCTTTCTTTCTTTCTTTCTTTTTCTTTCTTTTCCTTTTTTTGTGTGAGTTGGAGTCTCACTCTATTGCCCAGGCTGCAGTGCAGTGGCACACTCGTGGTTACTGCAGCCTCTACCTGCTGAACTCAGGCAATCCTTCCTCCTCAGCCTTCCAAGTAGTTGGAACTACAGGCATGTGCCACAATGACTGGCTAATTTTTTGATTTACTGTAAAGTTCTCACCAAGTTGCTCAGGCTGGTCTGGGCAATTCTCTTGCCTATGCCTCCCAAAGTGCTGGGGTTACTGGCATGAGCCCTCACACCTGGCTGATTTCCTGGTTTCTCTTTATAAGACATACTTTGGGGATTTTTAAATTAAGTTTTAATTCTAATGATTTTTTTACAGTAAACATTTGATTGCTTTAATTTAGGCATGGAAGTATTTTGAACCGAGAGTCACCAACAGATAAGAAGCAGAAAGTTGATCGCATCGCATCACATGATTTTGACCCCACAGGTAAAACACTATTTATTCTTTCAAAGAATAATATAGCTTAAAGTACCTGAAACATTGAGGAATAGTTGTTTGACCTGTTTTAGGACTCTCTTCGCTCCCCCAGTTATATCACATAAAACCTTTGCATTCAGTAGGAGCGCAAGCATTTTTACCTTTCAGCACAGCATGTTCCACTATAGAAGCATTATTGTAGAGTGTATTATATTTTAAAATAATGATAATGGTAGAAATAGTTATAGCTGGAGACTTTGGTAAGACTAAAGACTCAGTATTAAGGTGAATCATGATATGAGCCAGAAGTATGTCATAAAATCAAGCCTATAACAGCTATAAACTTCTGTAGTCATTTAAAAATTCAATTGCGAACATGGTAAATTGACATATTAGGTAAATTACATCTTCAGAAATTAAGATGGTCTCATTTTAGAGTAAACAAATGAATAGAAATCCATTTTTCTTTAATCAAAATATTCTGAACTCAGAGAGCTGCCTTTCAACCTAACTAGTGTTGATCTTGCCTAGAGTTTTCATGTTAGCAGATTTTTAACTATTTATATTTTTAATATTATGCTTATAGATTGAACTCCTCTCATAAAATATAGGTTTTTCCCTTTTGCTTTCTCCTTGTAAACTCATTTAGGATTTAGTTTATAAAAATTGCTTTGTAATATTGCTTTTGTCACTTGAAACTGATATTTTTTGGTGTACAAACTGTTTTATTCAGTTGTATTTTCCTTTTATGAAAGATAAAGTAAATGCTGAGAGCTCAGATACATAAAAATTATGTATCTATTTTTAGATATCTTTACAGTAATATGTTTTATGTATCTAATTAAGATGTTCATACTTTTAGTATTATTTGCTCTTTTATTTTGAAAGCATAACTAGTATCTAAGAAGAGAGAACTAGGAAGTAAATAGCTAATAATTTTCTGCATGTGGGGTACTATGTAAAAGGAAATCCAGTCATCAATTTAGGAGGCTTTGGTGGTGGGAGTATGTAATATACCACTTAGGGATCTCTGTGAAGAGAGAATTTTCTATTCTGACACCTAATTTTGAAGTCATGGGGCTCAGAGGCTTTCATTTATTTGTTATTCATAGTTATTTTCTTGCTAATAAGGGTCAAAAGTTTCTGCTTTATGTCCATAAAAATATTACACTCTTGTTATATTTATTGTCTGTTGTTCATCTATGATGTGCCCATCTCCAAAGACAGATTTAGCAAATGGGGTTTGCAGTATTTCATAATGAGGTTATTAGAGCTGTTAGTGCTTTTGTCATCTGTACAGTTATCAGGTCATATATTTGGTATACTATTCATGTGTTGTTTTGTTTAAATGTATTTTTATTGCACTGTCTTTTCTTCGATAAATCTTTAAAATATGTCATTACCTGTGCTGTTTGTGACTATTCTAATTGCTGTCATCTATGATGTTCATACTTTGTGTTTGCACGATTTAACTTGATCATGATTCATTCTTTTTTTCCCCATGAGTTTTTCCCCTTACATTGGTCTCCATATTTTCTATATCTCTCTCCTTTTCTCCCGCTCTTGTGCAGATAGCTCCTCCAAGAAGAAAAAGTCTAGTTCAGAGGAGAGTAGATCCGAGATATATGGTAAGCTAATGTAGCTAATTCAGCCTTTCCCTTTGGAGCTTGCTTCTGCTGTTTCTTTTGTTCTTTCCTTTTCTTTCTTTCTTTTTCTTTTCTTTTCTTTTTTAAATAACTGCAGCCTTTCCTGTGTCTGCTCTGCATGGCATGATCTACTGCAGGGAAAGGGAGCCTGGGGTTTTAATGTGGCTGTATGGAAGCTTAAGGTTGCTAGAAACTAACATTGTAGATTAAGAATAGGCCACATTGCCCATCTTCTCTTTCATCTTATTTATGTTAGGAAAGTGATTGTCTCTAATGTGTTTAGGTCAGGCTCCTTCAAATAACATAAATGGGTTTTGGATTCTTGTCATCTTTCTTCCCCTGTCTCATTTGCAGAGTTTGGATTATGAAGAGTTGAGCCATTAAGTCTTTTTCTCTAAGAATAGTACTAGTGTAATTTAGATGTATTATTGGTTCTTGGAGATTTTTATTTCATTTTTTATTGATTTATTTTTAATTGCTTTGTCATCTGGAAAAGTCATTTTTATATAATTTATCCTCAATAGCAAAAATACGTATTTTATTTTTATAGCTTAAAGAATTAATCTATGACTTTTAGAAGTTATCTGAAGCATATTCTGAATGAAAAATTTTCAAAATGGTACCTTTTAAAAATGATCTTCACAAAGAGCAAATTTAACCCAAGTGGTCAACTTTTGTAACAGATGATTGAAATGCTAATATTTCCAGACTGCATCCTGTCTTCCAAAGATACAGTAAACCATGTTTGTAAAGTTTATACATATCTTTCCTTTTCCTTTGCAGTTTTACCTGCCTTCTTTCCTTCTTTTGGCATCTATTAGTTTTTTGAGAAAAGTAATAGGACAGACACTACTTGGAACCAAAACTTGAAAAATAATTTCTGAAAGACTAATAAGTGATTTCTTTTTAGGAAGATGCCAAATGTGGCCCTCAAAGGAAAATCAGTTCTTCTTTAATAGAGCCATAAGTTTATCAAGTGGAAGTTTCCCCAGGTGCTGTTGTTTCTTAACTTGACTTAAGTGAGAAGAAAAAAATATGTGGACTCGCCCACCTTCCTTTTAAAACATTTGGCAATTCACATCTACTGGCACTTGAACTTGTAGCATCAGATATATTTTAGTATTATGAAGGCTCAGTGTTTTCTTCTAAACCAGTTAATGCTTCAGTGTTAGATACATACACATAGTTCTTTTTTTTTTTTTTTTTTGAGTTGGAGTCTCACTCTGTCACCTAGACTGGAGTGCAGTGGCTGCTCCCGGCCACTGCAGCCTCAACCTGCTGGGCTCCGGCAATCCTTCCACCACAGCCTTCCAAGTAGCTGGAACTACAGGCGCGCGCTACCACACCCGGCTAATTTTTGATTTATTATAGAGATGAGGTCTCGAACCCGCAGACTCAGGCAATCCACTCACCTCGGCCTCCCAAAGTGCTGGGATTACAGGCTGAACCACCGAGCCCGGCCCACATAGTTCTTACTTGGATTTTTATGACTAGTACTTTTTCTGTAGTTATACCTTTTACAGTAAGCAGGAAATGTATAACCATGCACTGTGGCATGTCAGGCTTATGCTTTGTCTTCCCTCCAAGATATTTTTGCTCTTTATAAGTAAGAAATAGCTTCCTAATTCCTCGAAACTGTTTTTCTTTTCTATATAAAGAGCTTCCTATAGTCTATTCTCTTCTTAGGAACATGAACATTATCCTTATAACTTCATTCTTTTCCAGTAGTTATTATAAAGTTGTATTTTGTCCCCTTTCTGGTTTCCTAGGTCTGTGGTATATATGTAGAAACTTGTTGTGTGCTTTGGATAAGGGCTAACAATTTAGGAAACTATGACTAGAAATATTATACTAATATTTTTCTTACCAGTGATAGGAATATTAATGCTAGTTCAGACATGCCTTTGGCTTGGTAGTAGTAGTAGAAACATTTTAAGTGGTAATTGGGAAGTAAGGTGTGGCTTCTGTGTTTGCTTCTCGAGAACCCTTGAAATACTTTTTTTGGAAGGACTAAGCCCACGAATCCTCAAAAGGCACTTATCAAAGGGATGAGTTGATTAGAACAGAGAGCATGCTAAGGTAAATCTCTTTGACATTATAATATTTTATCACCCGTGTGAATATTACTCTTTAGCTTGAGTGCAGTCTCCATGGGTGAAAAGTTTCTTTAGGGAATCAAGGAAAACTCAGTATTACTGGAATATGACTGAGTAGAGTTATAGCAACGGGTGGCATTCTGCTTTAGTGTAGTGTCTTGTTACAAGTCCACTTCAAGCTTTTGAAATTGTACATTGTTTTCTCTTAGGGTACAATTCATTAGCTGAGTACTTAACACAAATGCTAGTTACTCACTTACAAATTATTTATTTTAAAAGTTCTTAGTCATTTTTAGAGCTACTTTGTGATATATTTTAAAAGGAAAATGTGCTGGACCTGGTGGCTCATGCTTGTAATCCCAGCACTTTGGGAGGTGGAGGCAGGAGAATTGCTTGAGTCCAGGGGTTAGAGACCAACAAGAAAAGTGTTTATCTGTGCACTCAGTCAACATTTATTTTATTTCCCCTGTGTCCTTTGAAATCTATTGAATATTTATGGATGTGTTTTCTGATCTGCAATTTTAATAATACTTGATTTTTTATTTTTCTTACTAATGTTATAAGGGAAAACTTCTGTGGGTTACTGTGGGAAATGAGAGATTCAGAAAGGTGTGTCTATGGCTAGACTTCCCTGAACAGGCAGTATCTCTTCTGATCGCAGAAGCTAAGCAAGGTTGAGAGAGCCAGCAAGGAAATTTTGAGTTAGACAATAGCTTCTTCCTATTTTCTGTCTTGGTGTCATGAAGAGATTCCTGTTGATAAAGATAAACTGTGTCTTATTTAAGCTGTCTTAGTGTACTCAGGCTGTCATAACAAAATACCATAAACTATATGGTTTAAGCAACAGAAATTTATTTTTTCACAGTTCTGGAGATTGGAAGTCTAAGATCAGCTTGCCAGTGTGGTTAGGTTCTGGTGAAGGTTCTCTTGCTGGCTTACAGATAGCTGCCATCTTGTTGTGTTTCTATGTGGCCTTTGCTTGTTGTGTGCCCTGAGAGAGGGAGAGAAGACAGAAGCTGTCTGATGTCCCTTCCAATTCCTTTATGAAGGGGTCTCATCCTCATGACCTCATCTAATGCTTATTATCTCTAAAAAACCTCATCTCCAAATACCATCACATTGGGGGTAAGGGCTTCAGCATATGAATTAGGGTGGGGGACACACACACACACATTTAGTCCATAACGGAAGTAAACTGTCAGTACTTGAAATATCCTGGTCTGGTACTTAACTGCTATTTTTTAAACAAATTTGTATCTTTTTCTTATTTAGGCTTTTCATATCTTAAAAAGAAAAGTTTTTTTGTTTGATTATTGCTCCCACCAAGTAGTTATTCACTTTTTTCTTCTACAGCCTTACAAAGAGAATTCTGCATGAACCTTCTACATCCTCAAAACCATTTACCTCTTAATCTTTTATAATCTGACTTCTGAACTCATACTATCTGAAAGATGAACAAAAACATCCTACTTGAAAACTCATAACTTTTTTCCCTCAGTTCTCTCTCATTTCCTTCTAAACCATTTGGCAATGCTGATGCCCTCTGTTTTTTTTATGAGATTGCATCAGACTGGTTCTTTTCTATTTGAAATTGTTTTGTCTCTGTTTACTTGCTTTTCCCCCTCTTATACATGTAGGCATGACTCAAGTTTCTGTCCCCAATCAGTCTTCTAGTCTCCTGTCTAAATAGTCCTCAAATTCAGAGTGACCAAACTGGAGTTCGTCATTGCTCCCTACAGCTAGAAATCAATTTTGCTCTTGATTTCCCTAATGTTTTTTAATGGCACTGTCATTCTTCTATTCACCTAGTGTTATGTCCTTAAAGTCATCTTTGACTTTTCCATTTCCCTTGTCCCCTGTGGTTAACTATTTGGCAGATCTCCTTGATTCTACCATTACAGTATTTTTTATCCTTCACTTTTTGGTTCTGTTCCCACTGCCTTGTCCAGTTTTTCATCATTTCCCTAGACTAATAGCTTCATAACTTTCTTTTATTTCAATTTCACATTGATTCATTTTCTTTTCTCTTTTCTACTACATTCTCCCTTGATCTGTCAGGTTAATATTACTATATTAAGGATTTGGTCATTCACTTGCTAGGAAAGTACAAATAGTTATTAAGGCATGGCACAGTTTGTTTCCAATTTATCATTCTACTTTAATTTACTGTTCACTTAAAGGTGTACCAGATTCTCCAAATTTTTATTTCCCAAGTATGTTTTGTTATTCTCCGTTTGCTCATGCCATTCCTGTTATCTTGAATGGTTTACCACCTGTAATTTAGACTCCTACTCATCTTTCAAAATTCAGTTCAAATACTGCCTTTTTCATGAGACTTTCCTCTTATTGCCTATCTATATTTGTTGTTTCTAAACTTTGACATCTTGCTTTGTATTTAATTATTTGTATTTATATTCACCCATGCATTTTCCATGATGCCTAACTCATTGGAAGCACTTATTAAGTGAGTTTTGAACAAATGATTGTTGCAATTGAGATGAAGTATTTTAGCAGAGACAACTGACAGAATAAGATCTTGACTCATCTCAATTGGCTCTTTCTTCCCTTCTGAAAAACTTTAAACTAGAAGAAAGCGCAATTTAGAAGAGGGACTTATTTCTGGTAATGGTCGAAAAGAATGAAATTGGCATACTTGGAATTTAAGGCTTCTCTTGCTGGCAGGATTGTGCATTTAGAATCAAGAAGCTTCTTAAAGGATTATCTGAGGTCTTACTCGTAAAACATGTATGTCTGGCACCAGTTTTAAAATGAGCTGTTTTTATGAGGTTGCACATGGTCTTTCTCCACTCCCTTCCCTGAAGCTAATTCTTAAGAGGTGAGACTTAGAGAAGTTTGGCCATGAAATAAAATAAAAGGTGAAGAAAG